ATATCTGTAAGTGTGACTGTGATATATAGTAAAATCCGAAGTCAAATTATCAATATAGACCAGTGTATTCTGTCTCAGTTTCTGAAATAGGTGTTAGAAAGGCAGCCGTTAATGAGACTATTTCGGAAAAAGGTGCACTTATTCATTCGAAGCCCGGGAGGTTAGATCGATAAGCAGGATATTTTGGGGAGCGGTTTATCTGGCCTCTAGCTACCCTACAATTACCCATTATAACAAACTATCTAAATGCTAAATTGATACAAATCCTCCAAATGTCAGTGACATCAAAAAACGTTTAGCCAAAGGTGAGTGATGGAGATCGAAAGGCTCGAATAGATTAACGCAGTAGATCTGTTTGAGCTAAACCGAATGAAATACTAGCTGGAGTTTGGGAAATGGAGGTCCCGAGAGCCATTGTCATTCGGTTGCTTTATTGCATATCACCATTGCTAATAGTAAGGAGTTTGACAGTCATATAGGCGGGATGGGTCAAATTGGCCTGTTCATGAGGTGCGTATTGATTGACGCAATCATGAATTGGAAATAATCACTATATATGTACTAGTGTATATAAATGGTGTGAATGGTCCATCAGGGTGGCAGGTAGCTAAGTGGTTTCACCACAGGATTGAGCTGTATTGTTCATGTTACAGTGCTGAATGTTTTTTCCGTTTATATAAAATCGTAATACCTCAACAATTAATACTGGTTATCATATAAATCCTAGTGTAATATAAAAGTGGATATGTCATAATTAAAATTCTTCATAAATTAATGAAACATTTACATGTACATTTACAATGCCAGCACAGCATATTGCTCTAGCATTATTTTTAGTTCATTTGAGTGAAATTGTTGCAATAGAAGATTTCATTATCCATTGGACTTGTAATGTGTGTACTAACATGTCGAGCCGATAAGGCTCTATGAAGTCACTGGCAACTAGGATCATAGTAACATGGTTAGCGATGGTGAATGACATGGCTCAAAATGGTTTGCAATGGCACATATTTTATAATGCTGCTGAGAAGCTATTCAGTCCTACCGACGTTCGAATTCAGATATTCCAATTACAGCCCAAATACTATTTCTAAATCTCTTATGTATCAGAACGCAACATCGTTAGATAAAGTTGCTTATGGGGTCGAGTACAGTAAAGAAGAAGTCAGGAAGGAATGGAATGCTTTACAGATAATACGTATTTATACATTTAGGTCGAATAGGAAACAGCATCGAAGTCTGTGACATTGACAGTTAAAACGACCAATAGGAAACAACATTTCAAGTGACATTGACAGTCAGAATAACCAATAGGAAACAACATTGGAGTACGTAACATTGATGTCTAGGACGACCATAAAATTGACCAGTATTAATTAACTAATAGGAATTGACCAGTAATTCTCCTAGCAGTAGTTGATTTTAACTACGATCACCCCCACGGAATAATCACAAGCCCATCACAGAGAAGATAAGATAATCCATATTAGTGAATATATTTTCTGGCAACTTCGTGGTATCGAAAGAATACCGAAATCGTGCCAAAGAAGAGAAGAGAAACTACAGAGACAGTGGAGACGAAACGTCAGCAACATAAAACTCCAAGTTTGCGCGTACAGAGAGTATTAAACAAAAAGTAAAGTTAAACAATCACTGGTATAATTGGTTATAATAATAAACGTTTCCATTACACTATTCGCTTTCTCTTCATAAGCATGGATTCAGTACAGAAACTCCCCACTTTAAAGGATTTACACATTTGATACCTGGCGGCTTCGTTCGTGGGAGTGATCGGCAAACATCCGACTGCAGGACAGAAGGGTGGACAGACAAGGAGCGATTCATTGTTCGCGGGTTGTCACCGAAGATCTTTTACAGAGAGCGGTACCAGGAGTATCGTGCCATATTTGTTGCTCTAGTTTTCCTACCAAATCAGCGTATTTTGTATCCGGAATCTGATGATTACGTTTGTAGGGTTCTGTACCAGAAAACTCAGCGGACGTGGGACGGAACCACATTGAGTCAGGAAAACAGAAGCGACCATAACGACCAAGTTCGAGACCATACGTATGATAGACGTAATCGAAACCGGAACAATGAGTGAATTTGCAACAGCGTGGGTGATCAGACCAGCTTTCGCCAAGATTGACTGAAGTCAAGGGTACTAGCAAGGCAATGGTCAGAGGCGTGTGCTCAGGATGAAAACATCGCAGAAAAAGTCTAGGGTGTAGCACGCACCTAATATAAGAATAAAGCCCTTTACAGTATGTTGTTGTTTGAGATAGTAGTCGCGAAAGCGTACAGATAAGCATACTCGGCGACCAGAACATGAAACGGTAGTCTCGTTCGTACCTCATGATTGAGAGTTTGAGACTGTAGTCTCATCTGAAGTAAAGGGAAGCGTGGTCTTTCTATCTGGATGTGAGACTTGTCTTATCCGTAGATAGTACAGATGACACGTACCGTTGAGTAGGACGTGAGAATGAGGTCTCTAACGTATCTAGCGTGTGGTCTGAAGGAGATATTAGGATCCGGCTGGTGAGTCGGACAGCTCTAGCTGTCGGTTATTTTCATAACCAATCAAATCGTAGTTTAAGCGCTCACCACGTGATCTGATCTGACGTGTCTGTAAACTGTCTTTGTTGTAAATGACCAACTAAGTGAAGGACATTATTATCTTATTATATTGATGCGACTCATAATTTTATTCATTTCCATAAGATACAATATATTGGTCAGTATGCTTGCTAATTTCACTTGATAATTCTAATTTCCTTAATTATTGTACTAATCTAATTGTTTTACGTTTAGAAACAGATATAGTTTAAAGCCTAGTTGTCCTCCTTCTGACTATAGCTTTCCCACCGACCCCGTATTCCCCAATATTGTGTTAATAGTTATGAAAGTACATCTGTAGGACGAATTAAATCACACACTAGCAATAAATCTTGATTTATCGGGTATAGCACTGCCACTGAGGTGTGCCGGTTTGAGACGATCAATGCTATCTCGACGTGGTCATATCGATTAACCTTGAAGGTCTTTTCATGACGAGAAATCAGGCGAAAAGATCCTTCGTAAGGCTGTTGCAAAGGTTTGCAAACCGAATCTACTAGTATGAAAACGTGAAGACAGAGAAATAATTCTATAGGAAGAGCGACCTGTCGGAGCTATATTAGAGTTGATACCGAAGGTAGTGTTCACTTGTAGGGATTCATCTTAGGAACTAATAACAGACCATAAATATATTTACTCCCATTACCATCCATACAATTACCACAAAATGAAAGACAAATCCCGCTACTGCTAATAAAAGTAACAGGTGCTACCCGCAACAGTTGGAGTTTTCTTAAAATTTAAATTCGCATCATTATCTTTTTACCTTTCACACCACTTAATTTTTATTGATAGTAGGTAGATAAATTGAAAAGCCTGCAGATGCTGCTGAACTAATGTCGATTACGAGGAACTCAAACTTCCTGTATCGTTGTGAGTTCCTTCCTCTTCACGTATTAACAGTTCGATAAAATTATGTTTCCCCAATTCACTGACATCCAAACACCTTAATGTTTTACCTACTTGTTGCCTTACTGAAGAATTTTTAACACTCTTAATCTTATTTTCATTCATCAGCTACCTATCGCTCTATCTCTAAACTACCTATTACATTACCCATATCTTACAACTTATAACATTAGTTGACTTAATAGCAGTGCGAAATGCTACGTGGATATTTAGTCCAACATACAGAACCCAAAGTTGTCTAGTTTACTTGTAAAGGGGAACGAGTAGAGGAAGTGTATCGTGACAAGGTGCACAAAAAATAGAGCTTAGACTAAAAAACATTATTTAAAGTCTACCACTAAACGTAAGAGAGCCTAACATCACAAAAGCAGGGAGTAATGTATCTGACTAGTATTCAGGACGGTGGAGAAATAACCTCAATCTACCCATGGCTGTGGGGAAAAACAATATGTTTGCTAACTGCCCCTTACGTCATAGCAGGATGCAACCAATCAATGATATTGATATTACTTTTCCATATCAGCAACGTCTACTACTCATGTATGTAACCTCGCCATGATTTCACTTCAAACTAAAAAATCCTACGGCCAACAGATTTGGACAGTTATGGTTAAAAATAGCTCACTTAAGACTTTTCTAGTCAGTTAGAACGAAGAACATCGTACATACGTACATCCATTTAGTTTGCCATATCACATTAACACAAAGATGCAATTGTCAATTCATATCCCATAGTACTGGAAGGAGTAGAAGTATTAGCAGTAATTGGAGAGATTAGGGTTCGAAGATGTTAGGCAAGAAGCATAATTCAGTGAGATAAATTTAGAAATATAAGGATAGAAGTGATGAGGAATCCTGAATATTAGAATTTGAGAGAACACAAACAGGGGAGGCACCTGTGCCATTGCAAACGATTTTGAACCATGTCATTCTAGGTCTCTAACCATTGGCGACTTTCGTCTCGCGGACCCCAACCAGGTAGCCTACATCTACCAACATCACTCAGTCCACTTGTCACTGACTTCGTGGATTTTTGCCACGTTTTGGTCTGGCCACCCTCAGCTTTCTTCCAACCTATTCCTGCATGGCAAAACATTGCTCGACGAGGCAGTTGGTGGTTAGGCTTACACGTAACACATGTCTTAACCACCTCAACTGGTGAAGTTTCAATACTTTATCCATTGACCTGCCATCCTTATCAAGGACTCTTTTCTTAGCAACAGTATTGCTTACTCGGTTGTCCTAGTATCGAATCCCAGAAAAATATGAATGAAATATATGACACTTAAAATTGCAAGGTGGGCTTCGTACGAACTGACCCCTTACTTTAGCACACACATCAGTCAGTGACCTTATATTTGACGGGTCTTGTTGATCGAAAGTAATTCCAACAGACGTCTAGAAATTCAGTTGTATTTGCTGTTTTTTTTAATCGATTCATCAAGTGAGATCAACAAGAAACAACTGTACACCATCCCATCTGAACTGATTGAATTCTTTTCTTTATTTAGAACCAATATATTGTAGCACTGATCTTTAGATATCTTTTAAAATACGGTAAATTTCTTTTGTATGAAAGATTTATTTCATACAACTAAATGGAAACCTGACCATTTTGTTTATATTTTTGACTCACATAATTTATCTGTAATGTACAGTAGTAACCTAATTATTAATGTTTTCTTATTTTTAATAAGAATGTGTTTATTGTTGTGTATTTGCTGATGGTTGAGTAGGACTGGAAGTAGTCGTGGAAGTGCCAATGTTACTACTATTAAGGGTTGTTGCTGTTGAAGCTGTATTGGTGCTCTCCATATTCAAAATAAGTCTGTGAAGTGTAGTTGCTTCCCGAGCTTTAGTGAATTCTAAACAGAAAGTTCTCACTTCGATTAAGATATCCTGTAAAGTAGGAATACAAAATACATTTATTGAAAATTAATTATTTGCTAATAATACGTTTATCTGATCCCACTACTGCAAATGATCTAAAAATCCAATAAAATCGCCTTAACCTCCTAAACACAATCTAATTCACATGTATCAAATATAGTTTAATTAACTCAGAGTTTACCGTTTTCAATGAGAGGAGTGTACGATAGTTTTGGATTCCCCGGATTTTTGAATAGCTATTTTGTTAAACATCAACACATACAGTACATCGGCTCAAAAATTCCATCTGATTCCAACTAGAATTCAGTTATTAAATATGGTTGACCTAAAGTATTGGACCAGGTTCCACTGTAGGGTCTACAGCATACAATCATCAGCTTGAGATAAATGCTCTGGTTAGGATAAGATAAATGGTTTTCACTTTTTATTTTTTTGACCTGTAATCGAATGCTGTAAATTAATGATGTTACAAGGATACTACTTCTAACGGATGTTTTTATTTAAATTTCATATTTAACAACAATATTTAACACATAGTAAAATGTATTTTTTGTCACTATTATAAATGCAAGTAAAAAATAAAGACAAAGTGATGAGATAAGGAAGATTTCAGACTAGATAATCATGTTTAGTGAACACTCACAGATAAAATGTATAATCTCGTTCTCCTAGCTTAATTCACTCAAAACCATAACATCTGAGATGATGTTGCCAACACAGATATTGATGGGAACTTCATCACTTCCTACTATTATGTAACATTAGAAACAGCATGAAAGTTCAAGTTGTGTAAGAAAATGTTCAGACTCCTTTATTGCACACAATATCGGTCAGTAATGAATACTAGAATTTTACCGGAACTTCGCGTTAAATAAATTTAAAGATATGACAACATATCACGAAATCTAACTAGACTTCGTAAATTAACAATATTTGAGAATGAAATAGAAACTGTACCTGATTATGAATATCCAATATATTATTTCTGATGAGTGATTGGAGTAGTACACATACCAAACGAACATGTCTCATTTGATAAAATTTGTCATTTACTGAATAACAAAATGCTAAACAATTTGATATGTAGTCTTGTATAAACTCTGTAGGTAATGCAATTTTTGTAGATAGTCGATTTACCACTTCAATTGACTGTACAGTAACTTCCATTTTTAGAAGAGCATTCAAATACCTTAGTTGGTTTTTAGTAGAGAAAATAACAGTTATTTGCAATCAAAATAAAGATTATGTTCATTTTAAATATATGCAAATTCAAACAGTCACGAAACAGAAATATAAAATGAACCACAAGAAAATAATAATGTTAATGAAGAAAATTTACACTGAATAACAATAATCTATAGGTATCGATATTGTATTATTACCCCCATGCATGTGAGAGTTCCAGATTCCCATGAGATTTCCTAACAAATAGGTATACGAAAAACGGATTTGTAATACATAATTTTGTAACTTGGTTGAATTTAAATACAAGGGATAAAGAAAAATTAGTTCTGAATACGATTTACCATGTCTTTTGATTTCATATCTCTTTCATAATAAATAATAATTAAGCTTTACACTTAACCATTACACTATAATAAGATAGAAAATATAAATAGCGACAACTATACCAATAAGTTATGCTTAGTGCATGATTATTTTCAAATAGTTGACAAAGTAGAAGCTTCTGGATAATGAATTGAGTGTTTCACGAGATACAACACTATGAATGTCTTCAGACGGATATTAAAACAACGCAAGGGCAAAATTATTGAAGTCAACAATATTCACAACCTTAAAATGACAAAAACATTCAGTAAGTCAGTCTATGATACTTTGCGAAGTTCCTAGGAAATATCGAGTAAACTGATGGTTCTCTATGAAATATCTTCACTTCTTACTAATACTTCATTCAGAAAAGCTACCGACATTACTAGCCAATATTCACAACTTATATCCACACTATGAATATAGTCTGCACAACTATTCAGACTTAACAATAAGAATGTTTAGCTTTAGTTAAACAATGAATAGTACTGTCAAGCAGATGGTGTGGTCTTGGACAGTCCCTTAGCATCTGTTCTCATCAGCATATTTATCGCAAATCGGAAAAAAAAACAAAAGTACTACTTGTCTTTGACGAGACTCCTCTTTATGTAAGATACATAAACGATACTTTTGTTTTGAATAATGGCGTACATCATATGAACAAAATACTTGCATTTCCAATAAAGTTCATCCTAATATTAAATTCACAACAGTAGAACATGAAAGAAAAGGAGCATTCTATTTCCTTAATTTAGATACATCCAGAAGCGATTTTAAAATTTGCCCAAGGTATGTAAGTTGAAAAGCAACCTGGAGTGAGCAAAACCTTAAGCTTCAGAGCTTTAACCCTATCGGCTATAGATGTGGGTTAATGAAGAAGCTTGAAAAACGCCAGAAAAGCTCGACAAAGGGTATAAGGTGATAAATAATTGTCTGCAAGAGAATATAGACTTCTAAGTACAGAAGTGAATACCGAAGAGAAAAGAATAAACATTCAATAACAACAATATTTTCATTTAATTGTCATTCAAGTGATCAATTGATGGATACAGTTGACCAAAGTACATTACGCAGTGAGGAATCGATTCCATTGTACACTTCTAACACAAACAAAAATAGATAAATATCTGCCATATGTTAAAATTCTACGCTTTTAGAGATAAAGCTGCTTACGAAAAACAATGACACACCATTTATTAGACATGGGGCATAACGTGAAGTTAATGAATAATTAATAGACAGTTTTATTTCATGTTATTAAAATTTGTAGAAATCATAGCTTCAATCTAACTTTTGCACTCAAAAACAATCAGTAGTTAACCTCCAGCTATCTTGGTAACATAGATACTTTTTTCAACTACTTGTAACAATAATTTAGTGAGTTGACCTTACACGCCTACATTTCCTTTCTATACTTTTAAAACATATAATTATATTAACCAATAAAAATTATCCTAACATCTTAGAAGCAGTAGGATAAGTTACTAAGAAAAAAATCCTAATTTTAAGGCTTTAACTTTCAACTGTTTTCATACCACACAAATTATTCACTATTGATTAACGATTCAAAATGTCTAGATTGATTAGAATTCGACATGAACACCGTTGAATGACGACCCGGTGGTTCACACGTTAGGCATTCGCGCGCAAGACCGAAGGTCCTGAGTTCGAATCCTGCGAGGTGCGGGAGTCGTGGATGCGAACTACTGATGAGTCCCATACTAAGACAAAATGGCTACTCGATGTTTCCAAGTTTCTAATGGTGGTCTAACAGTGATTGGTCGATGATACTGATCTCCATAACTGCGACTGAAGAAAAAATATCAGAAATGTCCTGAAGGAGAAATGAGAGTTACTGGACAGAGAGTGATTCCGTTTCTAAGGAGGAAAAATATATATGTCAGTGTTTAAATACATTATTCGGTAGCCAAATAAACTTTTTCTTTCGCCTTTACATTCTCGCTCACGTAATCAGGTTGGAGGGCTAGAACATACCACATTCGAATCTCGGGCACCTGCATCTCTTTCGATTTTTACAATAAATAAAGAGTAAGTACAAACTAACTCCACCTGTAGAAGCTTCGGAGCGACTGCCGGTCCCGAACCCGGATAAAGGAGGAAGGTTAGACATAGGGTTGGCGACCCCATCCCACCAAAAAACCGCCAACCAGAAAAAATAAATCAAACCATTTTAACTCTGCCCTGGGAGTTGGAAGAAGAATTATGACGACGCGTGATGAAAACCGAGTTCCCTCGGAAGTCACGGGGACAATGCCACTTCAGACAACCTCACCCACCATTCTTTTAGGTACATGGAACGTTCGTACATTGTAGGAGACTGGAAGACTATTTCAAGTTGCGGCAGAAATGGAAAGATACAACCTCGAGGTGCTCGGCATCAGTAAAACGCATTGGACACAGGTAGGACAACTGAGACTAGCTTCAGGGGAACTGCTGTTATACTATGGTCATGAAGAGGAGAATGCTTCACATACACAAGGAGTTGCATTGATGCTGTCCAAACAAGCACAAAAGGCACTGATAGGATGGGAATCTCATGGACCCAGGATAATTAAAGCATCCTTCAAAACAAAGAAAGAGGACATTACGATGAACGTCATCCACTGCTATGCACCTACCAACGACTACAATGACGACGTTAAAGGTCAATTCTACGAAAGTCTGCAGTCAATCGTCGACAGATGCGCACCAAAGGATTTGATGATTCTAATGGGAGACCTGAATGCCAAGGTTGGAATGGACAACACTGGATATGAAGAAATCATGGGATGAGATGGACTGTGAGAAAGGAACGAAAACGGTGAGACATTTGCAAACCTATGTGCCTTCAACAAACTGATCATCGGCGGAACAATATTCCCACACAAGCACATACACAAAGCCTTATGAATTTCACCGGATCACATTACTCAGAACCAATTCGACCATATCTGTATCAACAAAAGGTTCAGAAGGACCATGGAGGATGTGAGAACCAAGAGAGGAGCTGACATAGCCTGAGATCAACACTTGCTGATCGCCGAAATGCAATTGAAACCCAAGAAGCACTGGAAAACAGGGCAGATAACATCACAGAAGTTTAATACGGTCTTTCTTCGGGATACCGTAAAACTCAACGAATTCAAGATAGACCTCAGCAATAGGTTCCAGGCCTTTCAGGATCTACTCAATGGAGAGGAAAAACATAGGAGAACAATTTAAAAGGTATCAAAGAGGAAATCACTTCAACATGTTAGGAGGTTCTGGGTCACAAGAAGCACCATCACAAGGAATAGATCTCTCCTAGTACCCTTGAAAAAATGGAGAAAGCACTTTAAGGAACTCTTGAATCGACCAGCTCCACTGAACCCACCCAACATTATTAGGCAACGACAGAATGTGTATCACAAGATACCAAAATAAAATTGTGGGCATGAAGAATATTAAAAATCGAATAAGAGACACTAAATGAGACGGAAGTTTATAACTAAACACACACATCCAAACAAACAAATAATCAAGAACTTACTCGTCTCGTTTCGGTGATATAATCAATAATTGTAAAACTTCAATAGCAATAACTGGATTACGATTAACAAAATTCGGTACCTTTCAAGATTGAAGAATAAAATGACCCAATCAAGGAAAAGCAAAAAACAAGGTCATAATCATAAAATGACTCATTAAATCAATAGAAAAAATCTCTGCCCTAAGAATCTCCATGAGTAGCATCCCCGTCGGTTGCTATCAAACAGAATTTAACAATGTAAAACATAATACCATGTCATCTGACAATTTAGTAATTACGGGTGGTGGCTAGAAACAAAATTCACGACGCGTATTCTGTCTTATCTGAAACTATTCAACTAGGTGATCCTGAATCCCAGTGTTAATATTCACAATGAAACTTGAAGCCAACACTTTGCTTTAAACGACGTGTTATCCATTGAGCAATATCGAACTGAATTATTCATTTATTCCAGTCGACAAATATGTTAGCTTGAACTGATAAGCAAAAGAAACAACTCTTATGAATAAATATCCATATTTAGTGCAGTTACAATTAATATTTAAGTGCACGCAGTTGTCACAATCGATTGATGAGAATTGTGGATACTATTTGATCATTCGGAACAGTTGAAACAATGACACGATTCAGAATAACAATTCGATAATAGATGAAGATTAAACCGATAGACTGTAATATCTTAGTTTTATTATAAGGTTGCAGAGATTGTTGAGTTACTATGATATCATGAGTTGATCAATGTAAGACCACCATTAAAAAACCTATAAGCAATGGATGACAGTTTCGTTCTAGTATGGGACTCACATCAGTAGTAATCGCAGCAAGCGAACTTAGGACCTTCCGTCTTGTGCATGAAGGTTTAACCTCAAGATCACTGAACCGACATCTAACGATGTTAATGTTTAACTTCGATCAATCCACTGTCTTAACCTGAAAAACTTAAACTGTAATGAACACGAGTGTACTCCTTTTTGATCATTTTAAAATTATTCAATCAAATCAAAATAGTAAAAACTATGGACTAGTATGATAAACTTACAATCTCTGAAGTAATACCAATATTATGAATAATATTTGGATTATCTTTAATTGCTTGAACAACCGTTTGTTGCTGTGACTGAGTTAAAGTGGATGTCATTGCTGCGGAAATCAAATGGCGAAGCTAATATTAAAAATTAAAAAAAAGAAGCAAAATCTACCAACTTTACAAGACAACAATACAAATCAATGAAAACTACTTGATGAAGTACAATGCGTAATGCAGAAGATCAACATCGACGAGATCACTAAATTATGAAGTTACAAATGTGCAGACTGTTCGTATTCTAATATTAAAAGAACTAATAACCTTGACCGCTAATAACATTATGCGACTTTAGCATAGATGTCATAGTCATTCAGTCAGTTACAATGGAGAACATCGTACGTACGTACGTACATCCATTTAGTTTGCCATAACACATTAACGCAGAGATGCAATTGTCAATTCAAATCCCATAGTACTGGAAGGAGTAGATGTATTAGCAGTAATTGGAGAGATTAGGGTTCGAAGATGTTAGGCAAGAAGCATAATTCAGTGAGATAAATTTAGAAATATAAGGATAGAAGTGATGAGGAATCCTGAATATTAGAATTTGAGAGAAAACACACAGGGGAGGCACCAGTGCCATTGCAAACGATTTTGAGCCGTGTCGTTCAAGCTCTCTAACCATTGGCGACTTTCGTCTCGCGGACCCCAACCAGGTAGCCTACATCTACCAACATCACTCAGTCCACTTGTCACTGACTTCGTGGATTTTTGCCATGTTTTGGTCTGGCCACCCTCAGCTTTCTTCCAACCTATTCCTGCATGGCAAAACATTGCTCGACGAGGCAGTTGGTGGTTAGGCTTACACGTAACACATGTCTCAACCACCTCAACTGGTGAAGTTTCAATACTTTATCCATTGACCTGCCATCCTTATCTAGGACTCTTTTCTTAGCAACAGTATTGCTTACTCGGTTGTCCTAGAATAGACAAGTAACGCTTCGAACAGATCCATAATCGAAGATAATGTTATATCTAGAAGCACGTCCATGACAAAAGTAAACAAGAATGCAGAAAGTAGACAGCGCTGACCGACACAACTTGAAGTAACCAATTCCGATGACGTTTCAACATACGCTCTAACTCGACCTGTAGTTTTCGAGTAGAGAGCTTGTATAAGGTTAATGTACTTCTTTGGTACGCCTTTTAATGACAGACACTGCCACAGAACCGCACGATCGATAGAGCCAAATGCCGCCTTAAGATCCTAGAGGACAACTATTGTCGGACACCTAAATGTGCGTCTGTGTTACAGGACCTGTCGTAGTGCGAAAATGTGGTCTATACAGCCACGTCTAGGTCTGAAACCAGCCTAGTTCTCTCTAGTGTGCTCGTCATGGGCTCTAGTTGGGCGCCAAAGTATTGTCGAGAAACTATTGGTGAAACTGATTCCTCTGTGATTGTCCCAAGCGGACGTTTGTCCTCTCTTATTAATTTGGACAATCAGTCATGGAGACTAATGGGATGGGTATACGTCTAGTTCCCGAATTCTTCCTAATCTCCCAGTCAATCTAAATGATAAAACTGGACCACCATCCTTAAAAATCTCAGGAGTCAGGCCATCGGAACCCGCTGCTCTCCTTCATTTAATATTTCCAATAGCTTTCTCAACTTCATAAAGAGTCAGAGGACCTACATCGATTTGCCATTCAGGTTGACTGGAGATTGTGGGCAACCGAATTGTCATTGAAGGCCAGTTGGACTTATCCCTGAAGTGCTCTGTCCATCGACCCAATTTCCTGGATTGAGAATTAATAATTGTCTCGTTTTTCCAAGATAGTCTCGCTAACGGTCGGATTTCTAATGCCGGTTTCCTTGATAAGTCTGAACAGTTGTCTACTGTAACCTACTGTCTCTGCCCTTTCTATCACTTTCGCTTTTGTTAACCACCACTCTCAGCGATCAATATGTAGTGAGACCCCGGGAAGCAGCATCAGGACTTCTAGATACAAGAGGCGTAAACCGAGTTGGTTGGTTATCTGGACAAGGTGAAATCAAACTTATGATTTTGCTCGGATCCTGTATGCGCGTTTTGGAGATGCAGCATACAACTATGGCACGGAATTCCATAATTCCAACTAAGGTAGCCTCTTGCCCTGTTTGACACAATGTCCGACATTAAAGCAGTCAGCCAGCCGACAGCAACATAGATCATAAAATATTATGAAATCTGTCATTCAAACAATCAGAAATTACTATATTTCAGACTCTTCTGTATTTAAAAATTATTTCCCTCATCTAACTATGGAATTCTACAATCAATAATACAACCTGTAAACTAATGTGCCAGATTCTATCTAATTATCATTTACAAACAGAAATCATATAATCATCTATCTTCTGATTTTAAACAAATTACTGCTATCACAGAAGATTTATTCAACTTATTCAATAAGTTGTTAGAATTACATTACAGCTATTTACTAATAATTATAGGTGTAATTACTGAAGTAAATACATCCGGTAATTCTAGTTTATCATTTTATTCTAATATCACCAAAAAAAGCCTAAGGAATAAATTTTTGGACAGAAAAAAGTACTGAAAATCTGAGTACAGTGTGTATGAATTATTTCATAAAAACTGGTAAAATCATCTCTACTAACAGATTGTCTAAATTGTTTAAATCACTTTATTTGAATAGAAATGGCTCACATACACTTAATAAAAATCAATCTATTAACTAATATGTAAAGCGAAGGTACTATGTATTATAAACCAAAGAATTACCTCAACTGTCATATCAACAAGTTCCATACTACTATTCCAATGAAAATCATGCTCCACAATATTCGGATTAAGCCATATAAGTTCCTCTGACCAGTTATAAATAGGTTTAGACTTCTTGATAGGTCTTTTCCCTGAAGGACTAAAGTCGAAAACTGTTCGACTGATGGATTCATCATCTTCATTTAAATTGTATGAAATTTCATCAGTTCCTTGGGGGCATGGTAACAAAGGTGGGGCAATGCGAATAAACTCTGGAAAAACATTATTGCGACTTGTTAATAATTCACTACGTGACAATACAGAATCCAGACATTGACGTTGCAATTCAGATATGGCGCAGGAATCGCCTGTATTATGTAAATGAAATGATGGCCTATAACCGCCAATATAAAAACATAAAATTAAGATAAGTGCATTCATTTCAGTGGATTTACTATCAAGCTAAACATTTTAAAACATAATTCCATGTAAAAAAAAACAATGAATAGACGTGATAAATAAATGATAGTAATGACAAAAGCAAAGGCCAAGAGCTTTTGAGGCAGATAGTCGGTTATCGCTGAACATCTAAAACAGTAGTTAACAGCTTCAAATCATCTGTTTGTATGTTATATTTAACAATTATCAAAGGTTCCACAGAATAAGTCCGAATAACATTACTTATTTATTTACCCACTCCTGTTATCCTTCATGGACCATGGGCCGCTGATGAGCATTCTTCATCCAACTCAGTCCTAGGCTCCACTTGTCAGTAGTTCCCAACTACTATTCATTCTTTCATATCGGTTTACAATTCTCCGTTTAATGTGTTGTTTAGTCTACCTCTTATTCTTTGGACTTGAGGACTCGAAATCAGGGCTTGGCCCATGACGTGGTTGCGCGGTTTCCTTACTGCATCCTATCCACCTCCAGCACTCATCACCCAGAAGCTGATTTGTTCTCTCCCACAGTAGCTCGCTGCCGACGGTGTCTGGCCAACAATTCCGCAGTATCTTACGTAGACAACTGTTAATAAACACCCATATCGACATCAGATCCACCCTGGTTATCAATGATGCTGCTCAGGTATGTAAAGGTTTCCACATCTTCTAAAGCTTATCCACTAAGTGAGATTTCGTTAGTGCATTTAAGGATCTTGTTTTCCACCTGTGTATGTAGAGACCTACTGATGCAGAGGCTGCTGCCAAACCGGTCGTCCTCTTCTACATTGGTTGCTTTCTACTAATATAGAAGAGCCAGGTCATATGTGAAGTCTAAATCGTCTAGCTGCATCCGAGCTGTCCAATATATGCCTTAGTTACCCTTACATTCATAATCCAGTCAACCACCAACAGGAGAGAGAGAGTGAGGGCAAGCAACCTTGATTGAATACCGGTCTTCACTTGAAATCAATCTGTGAGTTGGAATCCATGCACGATTTTTCAGTGTAGTCCGTCGTAAGAATTCAGTATGATGTTGACTATCTTTTTAGATACACCATAGTATGGAAGAAGTTTCCATAGTGTCATCCTGTCTACACTGTCAAATGCTCTCTCGTAGTCAAAAAGGTTGATGTCAAGTGATGAATTCCATTTCATTGATTGTTTCACAACGATACGCAGTGCTACAATTCGGTCGGTTCATGAAAAATCCGTACAGAATCCGGTCTGTCGATCTCGAAGTTGAATGTTTACTGAATCCTTCATTTAGTTCAACAACATTACTGAGGACTTTCCCTGGCACCGATAGTAGAGTGATGCTTCCATAGTTCTCACACTTGCTGAGATCTCCTTTGTTTGTTATATTGA